GCATGAAAATTTAATTCTTTTACTTTTTTGTCTTCTTTTAAATGAAGATGATGGGTATAAAAGATTCGATCATGAATTCGAATATGATTCTTTTACTTGTTTTTATCTTCTTATGTTTCGCAATGTAGCCAAACTTTTCCCTGACAGTGGAATCGTGATTTCAAAATCAATGCACAATGGAAAATGCGGCTACTGATTGTCTTTTCCCAAAGACAAATAGTATTTTTTCTCATTTTTATTTACATATTTATTCACTTATTTATTGCACACAAGAAAATTCAACTCTACATCCACGACGTTACCCGTGTATAAATGTACAATTTTATCGTAAGATTAAACCAATAAATACTACAGCAATTTGAACATATCGACAATAAAAAAAAAGTGAAAAAACAAAATGTATATGATATTTAATTAAATAGATATAATGATCTTAGAAGTAAATAGCAATCTCAATCAATAATTTACCTAAATCAGTGAAATGCATTAAGAAAATTTTCTTTGCTTCTGTATGGCCTACACGTTCAAGAACCGATCCCTCAATTAAGCAGAACAATGCAAATAACAGCAACAAGCAAGAAAATTGTATTCGGCGGTAGCCGAATCTCGCAATACCCTTTACTATGCTTTTTACATTCCACTCTCCAAGTTCTTTTATACTCTTTGATACTCAAAGAAGAAAGCAGTTGTTGAATGCTGCCCACTATTCTTCACGCTTATCTGAATTATAATATAAATAAATGAATATCTTGGGCGTAATGAGCAAGGAAACAATTTTTTGTTCCTTTTGAAAAAGATAGCGGCCGTGTCTTTCGATCGATTTGACCCATTATCACTACCAACTTGTATGCAAGAATTTCCAATAATTCTGCGAAGCTTGAAGTTGAGATAGTTTCATTTTTGCGACCAGGAGAATCTCTGCAGCATGCACTAGACAGGCGGACAAATTGATTTGCTTAAATCGGATCAAATTTTGATACTGATTATCCATATCTTGTGTGGTCTCAAGAGTTTTCTTCTAACATACTTCTTGTAATAAATTCCGGTATAATAAATTTCTCAGTTAACTGGTTAAAATTAAACAAAGCTTTAGTTAAATTTTAGAGATATATATCCATCGCCAACTTATGCAATCACATGATATAATTTCGAAAAGAGACAAAGTTCGGTTTTTCAGCAAGTGCACAACCTTCAAAATTAGAGACCACCTTGATGGATTATCGTCGCTTTGACCGCTGCAACAGCATAGTACTCTTACGAATATCCTTCAAGATCGTTCAGCCCAAATAATTTTTACCCAAAAATATATACATGTTGCTTACAAACTGGGGATTTGGGGATTTTAAATTCTTAGGCACATCATCAGATACCAATAGTAGGGTATTAATTTAGCATTCCACTTTCATCAAAGACCACATAAGACAAATATATTTTAGATCATCTTGAAATGCTGAGCAGATTTAAGCTTATCCGTACATTGCTTCGCCGATTTCTTTTTTTGTTTTAGCAACTCGGCAAAAACAGAAACGTTAATAGAAACAACATAGCCCGTCATTAAATAGCCTACGCTTACATTTGCTTAATATAGTCATTCATATAATGACTACAAGGTGTTATATAGAAAGTGGTTTGATTCGAATCATTCTTAATAGCGGTTGCCCTTGGACCAGAGAGAGACTAACTCAGATCGACTCAGGAATCGATTCTTAATCGACGCCTTTGACAGAAGTTAATTACCATACACGAAGAAAATCACGTAAATATTGTAAAAACACTTTTCTGACATTTTCCCAGTATCACGCTTTCGCCAACTAAGACTTCCGCTTTAAAGCCAAAAAAAAAAAAAAAAAAAAAAAAAAAAAAATGTTTCCTTAGATTTATGATCTATGGAAAGTAAAGACTCGTGTACCAAAATTCTATATTTTCCTTACGTATAAGAGAGCAGTCATACTCACATTATATATATAAAATAAAATTAGAAACAATTTAGTTTAATCGTAAAATCAGAGGATTCATGTTAGTTGGAAACAGTGTGTGTGGGTCGGTTATCTTCTAACCAACCAATGATGAATTAATAAATATCATCTCAATTATTTGAAAAAGAAAAAAATCCTTTTTAAATACAAAGTTAATATTAATGTAAAGTGAAAAACAAAAAGAGAAACACCCCAAGCCATCGTATAAGACCGCTTCTCTTACATAATGCTCTCTCATCTATATAAACTGAAATATATCAGCTGTAAAATCATGAGAGCATTTTTCCTCTTTTTTTTTTTCTTTTTGTTTTTTTTTTTTTTTGCAAGAGTTTACTTCGAGAGATGAGAGCATTTAACATACACTTTGCCAGCCATCGACAAGCGCATGTAAATGTTATGCTTTATAATCTTGAACTGAGTAAGTGTTTTAAAGAGAAATCATAAATTTTCTGCTTTCTGCCTTATTGTTTATTGCATTGTGTAACGGCAACAAAAACAACTGTAATAATTGCATCCCCTTATTTTCCATTAATTTACTCTTAATATTGTACCTGTAGTTGTAAAGTTTGCCTTATGCCTTACTTGCATGGTTGCTAGAAATAGATAGTTTTTCTACTCATATCATTATTATCGACACTCAAAAAAAATAAATAGACAAAGAAAAACTTCTTAAGAGAATGATTCTAACGAACTTTGAAATATATCCATTCATGTTATATCTGAATATGATAAAAATTCGAAAGCCTAACTATTCTGAATTTATTTCATGTGCCCTACATACTTACAATATTACATGATGCGTTAAGCTAGCAATTGCTTTCGCCAATAATAGGAACCAATTTTACGTTTTTTCATAATAAAAACGAAAAAAAGTAGAAAATTTACTGATTGTATATATACTTAAGTCTTGGCCTATGTATGTAGATAATAAAATTTTTTTTTTATTTTAATATAACTTATATAAGAAATTATGCTTTAATAAAAGCGAAGAATTGTTTTGAGTGTATTTCAGGTGTTTAATGAGGTGAAAAGTCATTGACTCTAAGAGGTTTACCAGCTTTTTTTAGTTTAAAGAGTATAACAAATGCAAAAACCTCTTAATATATTTCTATTAGTAAATTAAAACAATAGAAACTTTAGCAAAGAAAGTTTAATTTAATTATTTTCGAATGAAAAATATAGGTATCATGTATTATAAATATATATATATATATATATATATATGTGTGTGTGTGTATTAGATTTTAATCTAGAAACTATAAACTTTATTGCAGTCTTTATAGAATTTTTTAAAGTTTTCGCAAAAAAATAAAAAAAATAAAAAACATTTGAAAACAAACTATAGTGGATCACGGCAAGTGATTGGCAAAGTGAACATTTCAAGATTGCACACAATAAAACAAGTTCGGAGAGGCGAGAGACAAACAAGCTCAGATCGATTCACAAAGAGATTCTTATCTATCTCAAGTCCTGTCACTTGCACTGCTTGTGATTCAAATATTCTTAAATATTTCAATGGTATATATATTAAACAAATTACAAAACACACTATCCAAAGGGAACTAATCTTTGCATTTAATTTCCCGATGGTCCCTATATATATTTGTAAGAGTTTTAGATAGATATCTGTTGTAGATTAGGCAATTTTGGATCTATATCCTGCTACATTTGGATTGAACTATGTTCCAAATTTCAATTTTTGGCGAAAATAAAACTTCTAATAACTAAATTCACGCAGACGGACATAGGTAAATCCTAATATCTATTTCCTTATAGCATCAAAAATTATTCTTTGTGAATTTCTATTAAAATTTTTTAAATTCTCGTCGATAAATAACATCACCGCAGGGACTATACGTGATAAAAAATCATATATGAAACCGGGATTTTGTAAATACCGAAGAAAAGTTCGTCGACATATCGGTCCTGTATCGTATACCAAAAAGTATTTTGCGCGATTTGATAGCACAAATTCGGCCAGCGATCATATTTATATATAGTGCTTTAATCATTTTTTTTTTTTTTTTGTAATTTTGGCTGATCACTAGAAAACATTCAGAATGTAGCTTTGAATGTAACTAAGCGCCCCACATTTTGTGAATCTATTATTTTGTGGAAAGCCGAATATTACCAATGACGAACTGTTGAGATAACTAAAAAAAAAAAAATAATTATGGTATAATGTTTTCTTCTTTTCACGATCAAGATTTTAGGTCATAGTAAACATACAGATAGACAGATGCAACTAAACAATATAGACGTATATATGTATATATATTTCGATGTATTGCAATCGTTAGATAAATCTTTGTGGTGAGAATAAAAACGCACATGTTACACTATCACGGCAGCTAAGTGTAAGAGAAACTCAAATCTGGCAATGCTACTTTGAATTTGTATGTTTGAGAAGCGTACTTAGGAAAAATAGAGACGAGAGATGAAAAAAAAAAAAAAACCCCAACACCTTTAAGGCAAACGCTGATGAGATAAGAAAAGAATTATACAATAACCATAACCACGAAAACAATAATTTTGCGCATTTCAAAGCAGAGATAATACAACAAACAAAACAAGCTCACCTATACAAAGAGACAACGGAATTGTCATTTACTTAATCGACACCCATGAAACACTATATTCCAGTGATTTACATAAACTAAAAGTAGCTTTGATTTGATTTCATATTTAAAAAAAAAAAAAAACAAAAAAAAAAATTCATCGGAAACATGGTTTTCTTAAAAGCAAACACGACTAAGCACCAACTAACTTGGAGATGAAATCAAAGCCTTTAATGCAAATATATCCTACAGATATGCATAAATAAAAAAATAAAAAAAAAATAAAAAAAACATTATAATCCAAAATCCATAACAGCACAACTCGGGACATTTAATTTCTGTGCTGTTCGGACTTTTGTTTGCAAAATTAAATAAATAATGAATCATAAGTAATTGTGTTATGTTCGTAATTACAACAAAAAACAAAAAAAAAAGTCTAAGAGACGTACAAAAAATATTGACTTACCTGTATTATAAAAGATGTTGCGCGATGATGAAGCCCAGAAAGCTATCCTTGTGTTAGTGTAATTTCATGTTTTCAGCAAAACATCGATATTGACTTTTTTTAACTCGTCGTTTTTATTTTTTATTAAAATTACATAAATTCTTTTTTAATTAGGGTAAAACACTTTTGGAGTAATATTTTTTTTTTTTTTTAATTTATTAATGTTTTGTTTTTTATTTTTTTTTTTGCTATCTCTCAAAATTAAAATTAATTTTTCTTTTCATTTTATCTTAAGATTAATTTTTCGTATTGTTCGTTTTTCTTCTTTTTTTTTTTTTTTTTTTTTTTTTTGTTAATTTCCTGACTTAAGTGAAACTATGCATTGTTAGACAATAAATAGTAGTGAACTGGTCGCCCGTTGTGGTTTCTTCGTACCTGTAAACTATTTCCTTTCATTCTTTTCTCACGTTTCTTATTCACTACAAAAACATATCATATATATATTTAACTGTTTTCTTTCTTTTTTTTTGTTGTTCTTTTTTTTTTTTGTTTGTTTTTTGTTTTTTTTTTTTCGCACATGTTTCTCGCTCAGAAGTAAATTATGCAGACTGTTAAATTACAAAAATGAGAAAATAGTACATCTCTCTTCGCGTCATGTTATGCAATTAAGCTTTTAAAGACGAATTAGTAAACACTAAGGCACTCTTTTTTCTTCTTTTTCTTTAGCATATGTTGTCCCCTTACTTCTCTTTTCTCCCACTCTAACTCTCTGTCTCTCTCTCACTTTTCCTCTCTCCTTCTCTTTCTCTCTCTCTCTCTCTCTCTCTCTCTCTCTCTCTCTCTCTTTCTCTCTATCGCTCTTTCCTTTTGCTTTCAACCAAATTTTTAATAATAATTCCTTGAATTTTTTTTTATGAAAAGAAAAAAAAAAAAAACTTTTAATAACAATCATAAGAAATTATCTTACTTATATTTACAATTATAACCCTATTATTTTTACTTTCTCTCTCTCTCTCTCTCTCTCTCTCTCTCTCTCTCTCTACACTGTCTCTCTTCCAACTCTTGCTTATCCTATCATAAAAAAATATCGCATTTCTATCACATGAGTGCTTTCAATATTATTTCATTTCTCTCACTCAAAAGACCTTAAGTTAAATTCATTTTACTCACCTTAAATTTTTTTCCGTATTTTTTTCACTCCTCACATTTATTAAACACAATTGCAATGTATTTATTAACTGTGAGTATTTGTTTATAATTGTATTTTGAAATTTATTTATTTTTTATTTTTTTTGCTTTTATATCTTGTTTGACTCATTCTTCGCTAAAATGCATGTTCATGAATTTCTCCATCAAACCGGAAATGAAAAACTTTTCGCTTACAATATATATTTAAATTAAAATTTTTTCTATTACATTTTATTGCATTTCTTTTGAGTTGTTTTTTTTTTTTTTTTTTTTTTTTTGTACGTTCACTATATACTTAACGTCGAGACCTGAAAATACAATGAAAAATGGAAAATGTTACAAGAAAATTGCATCAGCTTATGTAAATTCGATGTAATAAAACAATAACAATAAATATCGTTTAGAAAGTTTGAACGTACACACATACACGCACTAAATACAATTCACTTCAAATATTTTAAAAAGAGGAAACTCATTACGATACGAGAGGATATTATTTTTTGTATTAGGTTCCTTGCTTAAAACGAAAAACATTTATTGCAAAAGCGTTACAAGAATTAAATTAAATTTCATATAAATCTTATTACGAAGCAGAAGTAAGAAAATTTACAATCTTAATGGACCCATAAATATATATGATCATTTAGACAAATGAATTTCTTACTATCTCAAGATTTCGATTCGTATCGTTAATACGGAACCGGAAAATACATTTTAACTTAAAATCTATATAAATAAATTTATATAAGTACATATATGTTGTCTTTGCGTGCATGCATAAATACATGCATGCATTCATGTATGTATGCATGTATTTACGTATTCATGTATGTACATTATATATATGGTAGGTGTGTAACTGAAATTGCTTAGATTTTTTTAAATTAAAATTCAACTTTATTTAAAATATTATTCTTATAAAGCTTTATAACGACACATATTCGCACATTCTTCAAAACTCCTCTGTGAACCGCTGACCTAGTAAGTGTGACTGCATTGATCCGAATAAGTGGTAATCGGAAAGCTCGTGATCTACGAGAGTGTGCGGTATGCGCTAAAATTTCTTAATCTAAGTTGAAAATTGTTTCCCGGATTGTTTTTGCGGGCGAACGATAAACATATGCGAATGTCATCGTTTTCACGACTACAATTTTTTGCCCGAAATCTCGCAAACCACTTTCTAACTGTTTCCTCCTAACTTGTCGCGTTTTCATTGCAAGCCAACTTAATCATTATCGTAGCTTTCTAAATGAATTCAGTTAAAGACACAAAAAAAGTGCAATGCCATGAATGACATCAATATCTAAGCTGATCGTATCTAAAATTTTATCATCATGGGCGTGATGGGCGTTTTATGAGGCAACCAATTGAACGAATTTATTTGCACATCTAATATATTTGTTATTGTTTTTACAACAAACCTATTTCGTGACTACCGAAAACCGGACATATTTTTTGATTCTTCTTTCATGACCGAAAATATGATTTACATTTGAAATTAGTATTAAATGGAAGAATTTTTATTCACGAAATGATTTTATACTCTAAAGGTATAGGTAAGGACTAGCTTTTATTACACCTAAGCTTGTCTGTCTGTCTATCCGTCTTGTTTTCTTGTATTCATCTTATAGCGTGCAATTTTTGAAATATTTTGATGAAATTTGATAGACCGGCACGTTTTGATCTAAAAACGTATGCTATTGAAAACGGTTTTCATTGGATCACATCTTTTCCCACTCCTCACTATAACGCCTTATTTTGATAAGTCGTTTTATTGCAAAATATCTTGCAGCATTTGGTAATAATATTTCGGCATTCGAAAATGATGTGAAAACTTTGGATCTGATGAGGCCATTTTTTCGAACCCCTTATCATATAACCATTTCTATGGAAACTGAATCATTATATTGTGAAATGACTTAATTTTCATTGCTTCTTAATGAAAACTCGTTTCGAACATAAATTTGACATAAAACCTAATCTTACCGAATTTCGATTACGTAGGTATATTTTTTGAACCACAACCCATGCTCCAAGTGTTTTAATGAAAAATAAGGCATAATATGCTGAAAAATTTTAATTTTTAACATTTTACAAAGAGAACTTTTCCTTCCTAAATCAACCATTAGGAATGTGAATCACACGCACCACGTATAGAGGCTCCAGCGAAAACAAATCCTTCTATGGCAACCAAATAATCAAATCTTTGAGAAATCAAATTAAATTTGCTAAATTGAGACCAATGTGAGGGCTTCTGTCAAAATTATGCATAAAAATGATATCTAATTTTTGATATATTATTTCTTAAGCGAATTGATCTAGGATATCTAATAGTCGGCCTTGCCCGACTATAGCATTTTTACTTGTTTTATTTACACACTTTCGTTGATATCGCTTTCGCTTTACTTAGATTGCTTTGATTTGAGTTTTATCCTTCTCTGAAGTTCTATCCTATCCTAATTGCAATTTTTAAGAATAACAGGCTTCGGCTCAATTTAATTAAAAACTTGTGTCTTTTCTTCCTGCAAGTATATGCTTTCAGAAAATGTAAAATTATAGCCAAATCATTTTTTTATTAGTTGCTTAGCAATCATATATTTAGTAATAACAGCAAACCGAATACGTGATAACAGGTGTTTCAAAAAGCCGTCGATGATATTTTTAATTGGCGGAAGGTAGTAATATATTGGGAAATAAGCGATTTTTTTAGAAAATTTTGTCTTATCTTTAAGACAGAATTTTTTTTGACCGAATTCCTTTGTGCTACCGAAGGACTTATAATTGATTCAACCTTTATTTTGCTGATCAATTCTTTTCGTATCCTTGCCTGATATCTGTTCATTTTTATACATTACATCACTTGTGGCACAGGATACATGCGCAGACGTATGTAGCACGGAGAAGAGCTTAAAGTAGACCGACTTACCAATCGATTCAGAACCATAATCTGCATTGATCTAAGCCTGTCTGTCCGTCTTTCTGTTTGATGTCCGTCCATGTAACTATTCTAAACTCATATGAAAACTTTGGACTGGCTGGGGGAAACTTTTGAACCCCATCTCATATAACGAAAACTGAAAGGTATAACTATCGATGCTTCATAATGAAAATTATATCATAATAGTTATTTAACATATGCAAAATTAACTGTACCAAATTTGGACCATCACGGCCTATTTTTAGAGTCCTAATCTAATAAGGATTTTGAAGAAAATCGATTATTTGGAGACCAGAAAAGTCGAAATTTTAATATATAGTGATGCAAATGGACCAATAATAGTAATTTGGACCTTCTACACCTATTTTTGTATACTGCAATTATGTGCAGTATTTACGTGTATGCATCTATTGGCCGTTTCATCTGCACTTCTTCTTGGAATGCTTGCAAAGGTGAAACTTAAAACGCTGAAAACCTCAACTCGATCTTTATGCTTAGTTTATCGTTCCATGTAAAGCTTGAATATGAGTGTGTAACACACACCAACCGCCCAAGGAACAGTCAATGGACTATAGTCTACATGCGTGCACTATAGCGATTGATATGAAACTTAATATAAAAATTTTTGTTAAGATAAAGATCATCTTCTTCAAACATAGCTCAGGTTATATTCGATTCCCTTTAATTTTGTTAATATCACTCACTAACTTGTATGCGTCATATATGTTTGTAAGGTAGAGAGCGAGAATTGATTCATTTTTCAATATGACAATCATTCACGGGATGTCCTCTACATGTGTAACATGATGACGGTCAAAAGGAAGTGAGGAAAGAGAAGCAGGGAGGGATGTAGAGCCGCACGCTAGTGATTGTATGCTTAACCAATAAGTGTTACACTCTCACCCACTAAGCACTCACTGTAACTGCGGCCAACGTAAACTGCACCGGATCTTACGTATCGTATATCAAATACACCGTAAACTTAGGCCACCGTATTCACCGGACTTTCAAGATTTCCAAGATTGAAGAGGCACATAAGAGGACAATGCTTTGCCACAATTAAAGCGATCGCTGGAAGAGCTCAAGGCCAACGCATAGCAGAAGTATTTCGAGACTTGGAAAAGGTGGTAGCACAAGTGGCATATTACATCTAAGGAGGATTACTTCGAAGGTGACAAAGTAGGTATCGATGAGTAAAAAAATATTTTTCCAGAAGAATAATTTAGATCACATTTCCGTATCAGGTTTTAGATGATTGAGACAATTTGAAAGTATTTTGACATTATTCCGGATTATTCCGGTTATTTTCTTGACACGGAAGGGCGAAAACTTGATCCTCTTCAAAGAAACAACTGTTGAAACTCAACTAAAAGCTTTAGGTAGAAACATTTCAAGTTTCGAGAGAATAATTAAAAAAAAAAAAAATCTGAATATTTCGAAACTTTGAAATATTTATGATTTGATTAATGCATTGATTAATACATGATCTGGGAACTTCATCTGCTTGATAGCGAAAAAACTAAACTTACGCTAAATTTATCTTTCTAAGTTTGAATGTTGAGTCATAGCAGTGATATCACTTGGCCGAAAATCGCATAGGTATAGGTTCCGCTAATTAGATCAATTAAAACGATACCTACAATTTATAAGCTATAAGGCCTCCAATACATATTCCTGTGTGTTACACATCTTTGACAAATCTAAGGTAAACCGTATATTAAATGTAAGCGAAATTGGTCACCGTTAACGGTAAATTAAACAAGTTAAAAGTCGCAAGCTTAATTTTAATTGTTTAACATGACGTATACATAACATTAATTATTTGTTACCAAAATAAAACTCATACTAAGAGTTTCTTTCATCAATCAGTTGCTGTTGGAGTGACTATTGAAAACAAAGTTGAAAAGCGAAATGAAATGCTGAGACAATTTAATAATTTTGCTGTTCCGCTGGACTGGCGCAAACTTGAGATCAATCATGACATGTAGAATTTATTCCTTATTGGAAAAATGCATTTCTCTATTACTATAAGCAATTGCGCACTGAAAACTGTAGCGTGTCAATAGCAACTTATTATTTACTACTTTTAAGTTGTACAAGCAAGAGCGGAAGTTTTCTGGAGCTATGGTTGAAAAAAAAAAAAAAAAACAATCCAAACGTAGCAAACATGACTTTCCCTGTTTACAATTCAAAGAAAAGTGCTATTGAATCGTAACGGACGATAAGGGATGGGTACGATGCAATATTCGTAGCGCAAAAAAAAAAAAAAAAATCCAATTCATATAAATAACTTATTTCAAGGTTAAGATCAAATATTTAAAGCGCCCCCTTTTGGAATGATCAGTTCCTCGAACCAAGCAAAGGAAACCATCGCTAAGCGACCTTACGCAACAGCAGCTGCAACTGAAATAGAAAACGTCACGTATGTCACGGGTAAGCTTTCAGCATTACTGCTGGACATTATTCCCTCGGATTAACATTGATTTCAATCAATGATTTATTGTCCGTCCAATCAGATACCTTCAGCGACACCATTAAAAGACCGGTTGCCTTCTCGATATGCAAGTAATATTACGTTCGAAAAATTCGACACTTCCCATCAACTAGCGATATAACTTAGATTAGGAATAAAATGTCTTTCTGTCATTCCCTTGTAATACAAATTTTTTTAAATTTTATTTTTTTCAAACATATTTGCCCACTTGACTCATCCATAAACTCGTCTATCATTGTTAAGAAAGAGAGAGAGAGAGAGAGAGAGAGAGAGAGAGAGAGAGAGAGAGAGAGCAAAAAAATCTCGAAAATATTGTGAAAATTTAACAAGTCTTTTATATTTATTTATTCGTTATACTCTGTGTCCATTAGGAACAAATTATTCGAATTTTTAAACATAACAAAGAAAATAATAAGAAAGGAATGCTCACATCTTCGGGTGAAAAAATAAAAAGTGAGAAAATAGAAAGACTCGAAAACGCTTTAGAATAAATAAAATGCCATCTAAAGAGCCCTTCAAACGTCACGTACTTGAAGAATGTTTTCATTCGTTACTTTAAAAAAAGACTTTATAGAGATTATTTAAGAATTTTAAAGGTTAGGCGAAAAATTAAACCTAAAAGCAAATTTATTGTTAGGCGATGTGCTGCACAAAATTTATAATTTTCAATTAATTTTCAATAAAACAAATAAAAACACTATAATAATCATCACCCTAATCACCACCTTGCATTATCTTATCGTTGTTCAGATAATAGTTTTTCGAAATAAACCTTTATTTGGGATGGCCGCTTAGAACCAGACGCCAGTGTATCAAATTTCATCGAAATATCTTAAAAATTGCGAGCTGTAGAAGAAGTAAGACGGACGGACAGACGGACGGACGGACGGACGGACGATTGGGTGGACAGACAGACAAACTTTAATGGATTTAGAAAGTGATTCTGAATCTTTCGTTACCAAGTCTTTCCGTCTGTTTCATACATTCGCATACACTTAACACACACTTGCACCATAAGTAGCTTTGGATATAAAATCTCATTCAATAAGGAGGTCCAAATTGCACGAATACCCTTCTCAAGGTAATGTTGAGACGAAAAGATGTTTAATAAAATGCTATAACTACTATCAGCCATCGTTTGTGAATGAATACAAGTACATGCACAACCACAGATTTATCTAACGCGATGCATACTATATCGTTTCGCTTATTGATTGATTATCAGTTCCTTTCTTTCTGGTTTTTCTTTCCTTTTTAATGATAACTGCAAACGAGCTCTTAGGCCCATCAACAGATACCACAATTCCTCTATTTACCCTACTTAAGAATATTCAATGCGTATTCTCTAAGCGTAGAATACTTTTTAACACCACTCTTATGTCTTGGTCAGGGATACAGTTGATGATGACAGACTGTTCTACATCGAAAATTTAATTACTCCTCGTCATGTTTATTATTAGCAATGCAAGGGATAAAAAATTGAGATCCAATCGTATATCGGTCCATAAGGATATAAAAATTTAGTCGACATAAAATGCTAACAAGAGATGTAATAATATTTTCTTTATAACTTTTGTGACACTTTTATACCATTTTATGCTCTATAGCTATGCTCTCCAGCTACTATAGTCAACATACTAAGTTGAGTGGAATATTCTATCGTATTTTACTATTTGTAGGTATGATTACTTGTCAGATTAAGGCAAAGCAGTAGAATACGTCATGTGAGGTCTGATTACTTAGCGTACCTTTTATGGGATCAATTAGTTGTAAAGTTGCGAAGTCGAGATCTGGTGTAGCGGATAAAGTCCATTGCATTTGGTCTAAATGCCAGAAAGAAAGCAAGACATCGGTTGCTTGTAAAAGCTTATCCGAGACGTTAAGAAAAGAGCGTGAACGAGAAAGATTCTAAACTTGCCAAAGATAGTAGGCCAAGCTTCGTTCCAGAGATTTCAGTGTCTGAACACTGAACCTTTTACTTAAAGCAACTGAAAGTAAAGAGAGAATTTTCCAACCACCCCAATATATTTATATAAATTATACTCATTCAGCATTATTCCGTAACATTTTAAATACATCTTTTCCAATTTACGAGGTAAGTAAGAAAATTTTATTCGCCAGACAGAGAATTTTTGATATGCCCTATCTCCAAGCAGAACCTAGAACGAGTCATACGAATATTCTATTAAGTGTGAAGGAAAGTTTAGTATTAAATTTCAAATCATTAGCTCTTATAGACCACAAGTATTAACTGAGTTTGCTTATTGTGAAGCACATTTGCAGGAGAACTAGCCCTTCTCTCCTATTCAAGATGTACATGAACTTTATTAAGATTTGCATAGATACGTGCTCGCAATTACAAATCTCTGTTCTCGCCCACTGAGGACGTGGTGTAGACTTGACTTGACTGTAATCATCTTCAAGGATGTATAGTAGATATGAACTAAACATTAGCTCTCTACATCAATTTTTACTTCCATTTAAAAACTAAAAGGTTTGTCCAGAATTGATTGACGAATCTGTGGCCACCAGGCCATGTCTTTTTTACTCTTTCTATTTGAATTTTCGTTCGAACAACAACGAACGGCAAACAGACAGACGAACGGACAAATTCGCCGATCAAGAATAATATATATGCTTTATCGTATCTCTGAGGCACATCTTTACACATTACAAACAGAATAACAAACAAACCTAATGGGTCTTTTTTTTTTTGGTCAATTTTTTCAACAAGTAGAAAAGTGTCTTCACCTTAACATGTACCTTCGATAGCTACCACCCATTATGAATTCCAAACAACATCTCCTAGTTGATCTGTTGGCTTCAACTATCAGACCGACAGACATGGTTACTCTGAGTCGAATCTTAAGCTGATCAACAATTCGCCTCTTTTTAGTTCACTAAACCAATGAGTCATGTGTGACAACTTAAACAAAAAACAACAAGAGTTTCTTGGGCAGGAAAAGTATGATTACAAATACATTTAAAGAATTTATTAAGCATAGATTAAAGTATTAGAAAAAAAATATACATATATATATATTTTTAAAAAAGGTTAGAAAACACTAACCACCCTACTATTCTCTGGAGATATCTTTCGCCCAAGCGACTCTATGGAAAACAGCATAACTGGTCAAAGTTTGATTTAAGAAAAAGAAACGAAAAAATCATTTAACCCACATTGTTCGATTTAGTGAAACACGTAGGTTTTTTTGAAAATATTCATCTTCTTATACACGATGAATGTGAAAAAGTGCAATTTTCGACCAAAAAAAAAAAAAAAAAAAAAAAAAGGTTTTTTTTTTAATAAAAAATATTTAAATTAACTTATCGAAAAAATCCTAAGTGATTATTGTTTCGAAGGTGCAGTAAAAGATTCGAATGAAAAAAATGAAAATTGTTTGAGCTATGCTGCTTGCCGACTTCAAAAACTCTATTTCGTGTTTAAAATTTTTTACACGCTTTCTTATCACAGTCAATTTTTTCTATTAGTCTACGATTCCAGAATCACAAAACTGCCCTTCCAACCTCCACTGTTTCCTCTATCTACTTTCTTGTAACAAAAAATTTTTTGAGAATAAGAAAAAGAGATATTCAACATGTTCTTCCTTAGCACGAACCGTCGCAAGCATTCTTGCCATATATCTTAAGAACATTTTTTCGGGCCATATGGACGTGAGAGATCATGCTCTCTTTCAAATCCGTTACCTCCCCATAAACCAAAAATTTTTATCCCATCTTTTAGCTTCCCATCTCAATATAAGTAATCATGAGCATTCCAATAACATATGGCGGACATGGCATTAAGTGGAAGTCTTACGTTGGTTAAAAGTTTAGGTCTTAGCTATTGTCTCCCGTGAATACCTTTGGATACTACAGACGAAAGACAAATTTTATATGAAACTATACGCTATTTTTCTTACCTTTCGCTTAAGATCGCACCGATATGAGCAGTTTCATGTAATAAAAGAAATAGATGGAGCACGTAGTAGTAGTAGTAGTAGTTTGATAGATGAACAGTAAAGCAAACTTCTTTATTTTTGAAGACTTTTATTACACCAAGTACAACACAAAAAAAAAAAAAAAAATAAAAAAAAAAAAAAAAAAAAAATATTTAAATTAAAAAAAATTCGCTTTTTACTTTGGAGATTGCAATATTAATTTTTTTCTCATTTTATTCATATGCATATCTATCTGTACATAAGTTCGCATATATTTTATTATTAAATATCTATCATTATTTTTTTTTATTTTTTTGTTTCTCAATTATTTTATTTATTTTATTTTATATTTTTGCGGTAAAAAGAAGAAATTTTCATTTTATTTAACCTTGTGCTTTTTTAATTTTTTTTTTTTTTTTTTGTTTTCTGATTGTGTTATTAATAATTTATTTAAATGAAAATTCACGGTATATTTTTAATATTTCTTGCGATCATTATCTTGAAGAATTTATGCGTTTTCTTAATGAGCTTAACATTCTTAATATTGATGTAGTTATAAGATTATTATTCTTTCTTCTTCTTCTTCTTATTGTGCTATAATATCAAATCTTATTTAAAAAAAAAAACTAATATGATAAACTCAAGGCAATAATATATGAACATATATATATATATACGTAGATATGTAGCTGTGTACAGTGAAGCATGACCAATCACGATAAAATCCGCTCCATAGATTTCAGTGATTAGAGTAATGAAGAACATTTATATTTAGAGATAACACATTAGTACTTTTTCTTCTTTTTGTTTTTTTTTTTTTATTTTTTTTTTTTTTTTTTAAATTTTAATTATTAAAACTTTTTTTTTATTATTATATTTTTATAAATCAAAAGGTGGTAAAATTTTCAATTAAATGTAGCGGTGGTTTCATTCTTTTATTTTACAAAAACAATTGCAGGCGCAACAGTTACAAGCAAAATAATAATAAGCAAAAGTAAATGCTTGCTTCCCCAACTGTTGTTTTCATACTTGCTACACATAATAATAATAATAAACAATTATATACATATGCACATCAACGTACACGTACACGAAAATTGGCTTCTTCTCGCAAATATTTACAAGCACAGACAGTTATGTGCAGTTAATAACAGAATCGCGCTTATGAAATTGAATCGACATTTTAAGTAAAAAATTTTTATTTTCCGCACTTTTAAGTCTTAAATCAATTAAGTATATATATAAGTAATAAGTATACATATATATATATAAGTAATTTTCAAAATTAATATTTATTCCTATATATATTATTGCTGTGCACACTCACACACCCACACGCTTCATGAAAATCTACGATCTTACTTTACCGCTTTACCGTCCGATTCAAAATTCAAAAAAAAATAAGATGAAAATAAGAGAGAAGGGAGATTATGTATGAATTTTCGTAGCAAAAATATTTCACTCAATGCACCACAAAACGACAGACACGAGTTATAAAACTAATGCCCGAGCGCACAAATTACTCTGTCTCTGACTTTATGCGCGTGTGTTTAGGCGTGTGTGTGTGTGTGTGTGTGTGTGTGTTTATGTACTTTGCATTATAAAATTTAGAAAAATCTTTGAGTTACATAAAAATGAGTACCGTCATTGAGTGCAATAACAATTTTTGGAAATACAAAGAGAGTTGTCATTTTTGTTCTCCTTTCTCTTAAATAACTTCTCTCCATATTATATGCAATAAATCAAAACAATGAAGAAAAAAAAACAAAAAAACGTAGGAATTGTATTTCCGGTGTTCTCTGTTTTTCCGCTTACTATTTAATAATATTCCTTTCCTACAAAACGCTTATATAATACTTACTTAAATTTTATAATTTTACATAAGAATTCACAATGCACTGACGAAATGGAATGAATATATATTTTAAAGAAAATCATCAATTCTGCATTTAATCAGATTAGAACCGATTAATCCAATATTACTTGTATCCAATGCAATAATGCAAATCGATCTCAATTAATTGAAACTGAAACGAACATTAGACAAGAAGCGATCGAAATTATAAAATTAAGATTTCACCTGTCTCTAACGAATTGTGAATAGTACGTATGCGATAGTGCGTCTGCGTCTTGAATATGATATAATAACGCACTGCATCTCCGTAATAACAAATCATTTTGTATGATAGATAATGAAACCCATGGATAAACTAATGGCATGAAATTATTCGACGGAATAGAATGTATTTACTTAAAAAAAAAAAATTTTTTTTTTTTTTTTGCGTAATATATTTTCTGAGCAGTCTGCTAAACTAGCCGCATAAGCAAAGGATCGCGACTAAGAACTGAATTCAAGTGCGTTCAATAGAGTTTTTAACAAAGGCGACGATATGATCATGATGTCAGTTAACCGGATCGCCCTTAAAGCTACACCTTACAAAGACAATAAATCAATTAAATACCCTCTCGATTTGCAATTACTTCGATTCTCATTACATCGCTGTTTTCACCATAAAATTTACTAAGTAATACGCTCCAGTATGAACGCGGCTTCCACAAGACTGCGTTATATGATAACCCTTATAAAAAAAAAAAAAAAAAAAAAAAAAAAAAGCCATTTTTATATGTAGTTAAAAAAGCATTTTCCCTAGCCGAATCGGCTAATTTTTAAACCTCATCTAACGGCAGTAAAACAAATGTAATGAAGGTCAACGTCGAAAGTTTTGGGTGACAGAGCGACAAAAAGCGACACCACAGAAGTCACATGATTGAATTAATATCAATATCAGACAAGTAAGTTGGGCAAGGCCGATCATTAAATAACCCACACCACATTGTCTCACACAATTCTTAATTTTGAATGAAATGACTATTATAGGTCAATTTTCATCACCACACTATTAAAAAAAACTTGGGCTTTTCTGCTCCACAACGCATCAATTTTCATGAAAATCCTTATTAGGATAGAAACCAAAAAATAAGCCGAAATAGTACAAATTAGGTACAGTTAGTTTTCTTATACTAAATTACTATTATGGTATAACTTTCATCATGAAGCATTGAAAATTATACCTTTTTGTCATATGAACTTCAGTTTTCGTTATATGAGAGGGGATTCAAAAATTGCCCCCGCCGCTTCAAATTTTTTATACCAATTTGGAATGAAAAAATACTACAATTTAATAACTTTTGGCGAGAAACTTTAAAAATTGCAGTTCGAAAAAGTGAACTGATCCGAACCGTTTTCAATAGCATTTGTCCATGGATCAAAACACGTCACTGTACCCAAAATCCAAACCAAAGTATCTCAAAGATTATCACCTGTAGCTTGAATACAAATTTACATAGACAGACATCAGACAGACAGACAGGCTTAGATCAATTCAGATTCGGTATAACAAAGGGTGGGTTTATATTAAACCCTTTTGCTTAAGATACCCTGTACCACAAGTGTTGTAAGGTATAAAAAGGGATAGTTAATGAAAACTCCAACTCTCACTTCTGTGCGAAGCACATAATCTGACAAATTTATATATATGGTAAGGAAATGTCCTCAGTGCGCTATCCTGTTGCTTTGAAAGAAACCAAAGGCAATGAACTCACGGCTCGAAAGAGTCTTTAATTTTTCTACTCACAATATAATTATAAGAATAATTGATATGATTGCCGCCTATTTATGATGTTGTTTTCTTATTTCGCTGCGCTTCTTTACCACTTGATGAAATTTACACAAAGTATAGTGTCATTGGCGGAGAACTAATGTGAACATAATAATGAATCGTTAAAGGTAAGTAAAACTGAGTACGTCAACTTAATTGAGTAATAATCGAAAACTTAAGATGGATTTTATTCTTTTACATGAAAAAAGTCCTTTAAAATCACTTTCAAATATTATACTGGCCTAGGCTGTCTTGCTGTACTCGTATTAATATATTTATTTTTACTAAAATAATTTCAAGTATCTTATCTAAGCTCACATAAGCCAAAACTGCATTTTTTCTTTTTTTTTTGCGATTTTATTAGACAAGAAAATTTCAGTTTTATAGGCAAATCAAGAATATTAGGAAAAAAAAAACAAACCCTTAGACTTTAAATGAACAAAGGAAAGATCATAGAAAAATTTACATTTCTTCTTTGAAAAGCATTTCCAACAATTCGGCTTGCTTACACTGATCACCATCTAAACGTAAAGTTGATTTCCAACGTACAATTGTTGGTATCACCATAAGTCTAACGTCGGAATCCTTGCGGAAAGGATTTTCTTTATCTTTCCAACTTTAAAAATCAAAGAAAAGTGTATTAAAGGACAAATAAATTAAATAAGAAAAAATTCTTGTACTTACAAAGGTCTATCGCCCACGTCAACCGTTAATAAGATGGTATTTTCGTCAGCATATTCTTGTACGGCCTTAGCCACCGTGCCTTCAGCTTACATAGCATAAAAAGATACCAACGCAATATTAAATCTGCGATTAAATTAAATAGAACCAAGTTTTCTAACTCACCCGCATTACAGTCCGGACACCAACTTTGCCCTTTATCATCTTTTTCTCCAATAAAATAGACAAACAATTTGACACTTTTATCTTCAGTCAATTTGTCAGCAATTTTACGGAAAATATCATAACCTTTAGCAAATTCCGTACGCACCATATTTGTCAAATTTATTTCCCTTATCAAATATTCTTTAATCGGGCGCAGCAGATAAGAAAACAAACAATTGTTTTTCTATTTACTGATAAGTAAGCAAGCGGAAGAATATATCTTTCAATACAAAATTTATATGCTCTGGCGTTAATAAAACCAACAAAGCCGCCTAAATTTAAATCATAAACTAAGGATTGGTTTTCTAAATAAACTATTTTACGCGTTGACAATTACTTGCCGGCATTTAAAAAAATGAAATCACCTGACAACACATATGGCAAGAAACTCTTAATATTGTCGAAACAGCTGATTTAGCAAATACAAAAAAAAAGGAACATATGGAATGAAATATTCATAATAATATCCAATTAAGACGTTTCTACGACAAATTTATATATGTAGGTACAAGTAGTATAACATAATAATAGAGCTAACCTAATAAGAAACAGTAATCCAAGTATCCCATACGGAATACAATAAATAAAATAATAAATGGAAAAATTTCTACAATTATCGTTGATTTAAAGATCCTTGCAATCGAGTGCCGTTATTGTCATAGTAGAAATGAAAATTAAAATAAAACTTTCCATCAATTTGTAGGTTTCGATAGAAAAATTTAAAGAAAATCTCATGGCAGAGTTACAAACCCAAAGTCCTCTTTTCAATAGCCCCGGTTAGGATCACTTATATGGATATTGGAAATGTAGTGTAGATAAGGGATATCACCGCATTTAATGCCCGGATATAGTTGAAGACAAAGCGAAAGTTCTCTAAATCAACTTTCGAAGGACACCAGCCAAACTTCGTTGATATGTTTTTTGAGATTTTCGTTTCCGTTAGAGCGAAAGTTATTGGAAAATATGTGAAATGGTTTAAAACTACCTTTATTTACATTAGTGTAGAGACCGCGCACTTCAATTTATTCCTTATTCTTAAACTGCAAGTAAGGAAGCACAAAACTGAAAAGCAAGAGGAAAATCCGTACTGTGGTATATTTATTTAAAAAGCAGTGATTCTCTCTAATCAGTTGAATTGCGAATGTCTTCGTCTTCAGCTACCATCAATTGTTGCAGGTCTAGGAGCTGTTGCAGCTTCTAGCAATCGAGACCGCGGCCCATTACAATCCCTTTCAATATATATAGACAAATATAAAACCGAGGAAGGGAAAAAAGGTTATAGTATGCATCGATGGAAGTTCTTCTTATATAATTCCTGAGCGAATGTCAATTGTATCTGGGATCATTTATAGAATTTAAATAGTTGGTTAACTCAACGATTGTTATTTTACTGAAGTTTTTTAAAGATGGCGTAATTTATGCTATTAAAATTATATAATCTAATAATAAAACACGCGGGTAGTAGTTGGAGAGAGAACGTGTCGAAAGACTGTTCAACAATTATAGGTTCTTACCAAATATGCCCCTGGTGCCGAAAAAAGTTCATCACATGTGTACTTTCCAGTAATCATCACCATCATTCATAGTTGAAATGCATAAAGATTTCAATTCCTTTCAAAAATCTTTCTACCAATATTTCATAAACAAGTCTTAGACAACTTTTAGCACATTCATCGTAACGAAAGTTATGATTTTTCACTCCCTGTATCCCTACTTTTGATCTATGTGCTTTTCTCATTAGTTTGCTCTGCTTACAAGAGTGGAAGTAAGATAAAGAAGGAATAAAACAATGAAAAAGCGAAAGAGGAGCAAGAACGTAAACATTTGAAGCACCTTTCTTCAAGAATAATCCGAAAGACAGGCGTTTGCAGAATCATACTTACAGACATCGCCCAAATGACGCCTCCAACGTCAAAGCGAAACTATTTGTCTATCAAAATATTCTTCTGGTACTGAATCTCTGAACGTAAACAAAAATTAAATTACAACGCCTTAGTTCAGTTAGTAATATCTATACTTTGCTGCCCGTGATGTTTTCAAAGTGCTTTTCCTTTAGAAGTTAAAACAGATCACAAGTCGAGTAAACGATAATTGCACATTTTTTTTTTTTGATGAGTTTTAATATCTCTTCATTAATTGATTTAAAAATCAGTTTGTTTTATAGTTTGTTTAACACTTCATATAAAAAAATTTTTATTTACCTTTTTAAAATAAATGTATCCTGACGGTACCTAAATGTTAAAAAAAACAAGTTTTGTGCCCGCGATGAAAAAATAGTATTTTAAAATAAGAACTACGGACGTTAATTTTCCGCGAAAAGTAGTTGATGACCAAGCGATCTTTACCCATCTAAGAGTTTCCCACAAATTTTCATACCGCAAATCCCAAAATATCGATGACTAGAATTTATTTTATTTTTTACCTTTTGCTTGAACTTATTATTACACAAAGTTTACTCTTTAGAAATATGTTGCGTTCAATTGTTCGCACTATCATGTAATTTTCTAATAAAAAGCAATACAATGGTTTCTATAGGTTTTTAAGGATTTTAGGATTACCTGGAGGAAAATTATTAGCTTTATGTATCTCTTTACTCAATTTGGGATATTTTTTACTGTTGATTTACTCACACGCATAAGAAGAAGAAACTTTACGTACCACAATCCACATTGTTCCTTATTTTTAGGATAATTGAGATGATATTTCAATCACATATAATAAATATACATATTTGAAATGGGCTAAAACTATTTCTAAACTATATGGTAAAATACTGACATAAATTGCATAGAGACGAAAATTATCGAGCTGCTCCAGATAGAATGCCTGCATAGGATGCTGACATAATGATGCGTTATTCCTAGTTGTGGGATTGGACTTCTACTTTACCCTTTCCGTAACTTCGTAGCAATTAGCGAATCATATGGTTTTGTTTGTACACGCATACACAAACAAAATAACAGAAACGTAAACAATAAAATGATTGTTTTTAATTTAGAAATTATTTATCTGTTTAATATTTATTTAGCTCAAGTTTGCATTTATGCTAAGCTTTTTGAAATTTTAACCTGTACACGATATCACTTTGTAAGGTGTGAAAACCAAGCAACAAATGCAATTCATTTTCAATGTAAGATATGCTTTCCACATTAAAATATAATATCGCACAATATTAGATTCGATGCGATTTTCAATATAAGTTATGCGAATTTCAATCGCTGATTCTTTCTTATTAATTTTTTGTAACTTTAAAATGAACGCATTTTTGAGTGATTAATAATTTTGGCAACTCTGTGTTTTGAAATCCACTCTAATGTGGATTGCATATTTGAAGTTAACATCTGATGCTTGCACATTTGTTGTTGCCTAAACCGCCTTTTTTGGTATTCGATTTGTCTGTCATTTTCCTGCTTTGACTTGTTAGAAAAAAGATCTAATAATTTATTTCTTTAGAAATTCTTTTCATTAATTGAAATTTTTCGAGAAAGACACTAAGCAATCAGAAAAGAAGTACTATTTAATTTACATAAGCGAAGACTGTCGAATTAAGTGAATTAAAGTTTTCAGAGGTGAGTTCTTGCGCTAAGCTGCTAATAAGGATCATTTATTTGCACGTAGGCGTTTTCTAATTTAATGTGACTTGAGAAAAGTAGCCGAAAATTTCATGAAATTATGATACCTAAAGTAAGACAATTTTCCGTAAATTTTCGGAAATATTTTATAAATTGTAACGTTCTATTTCCAATTTCACTCTGGCTTATTCTCTCTCTTTCTCCATGAAAGTGTTATACACACAAAGAGAGGCATTTTCAAGGAGAGGGAAAGTTGAAAATTTAACAGAAGGGTGCATTTTGTTTTTGCACTTTCAATTTATTCACTATGTGTGGCATTGGTGGCATTAGTTTTGTAAATGCGATTGAAAATTTATGCAAAAAATTGAAAATTTTTAACATAATATTCTTAATGCATGAATATTAAAGAAAAAACAAAAAATCTTTTTTATAAATTTGTTTATCTTGCAATTTTAAGCTTAATCAAAATTTCAACTACGGGAGTATGGAAGGTAAGTAAAATATGAATTGTGTTGGAGTCGTTCTATGTTCGTTGATTTATATTAACTATAGCTATCCTATCAGCAAATGAAACATCTGAAGTATTGGCGAAATATCTGGAATTGTTTCAGCAAAACGCTTTCGATTTTAAATATCATTTTGCTCCAAATAGTGTTATTGACTGGTATGGACGAAACGTAAGGGGTGTTAATAAAATTCACGATTATTTAAGGTATTTTATTTTATTGAAAACTTTCCGCGACGATTCAAGCATCATTTGTATCATTTGATGAACAGGCATGAAGTTAGCAATCACTATGAACATATCGAATTTCTGCAACCATTGAGTTGTGGGCCTATTGAAACCAAGACTAGTCATATGCGCACGTAAGTATTGTAACTTATGCTTTTGACGTGAATAAACATTTGTAAATTATTATTGCACTTTTAGGAAAGTCATTACTAATAAATCCATTGATCATGTGCATCCCATTAATCGTTTGCCTGATATGGTACCGCTTAAGTCTTATGCGGATAGTGATATAGAAGATAATGATCGCTCTGAACATATACCAACTTTCAATATGCAACAGACGAGAACGAATCTTTTGAAAACTCCCGAAAAAAGTTTAATTGAAGAGCTAACGCCACCAGCTAGTGCCACAAAAGAAGAAGTCAAAACGGATAAGACGGAAGCAATAATTGCAAATTGTTCGAATCCCTTAAAACGCATTCATACCGAGCGTTTTAGTTATTTGCGTCGTTTACCAACGATTCCATCTACAAGTAAACGAGCTTGTCTTATAAATGATGGCGTGCGATCACTGTTAGACGATTCTTCTAGCGATGAAGATGAACTTGAATCCTTGACTTCATTGTATACGCCTTTACGCTATCTGGAAGTGAAAGGAGTTATTCGCTTACGTTCTTCAACTTCGGCCCATTTTAAATGTAAAAGTGTTTTATGGCGTGATTGTGATGAAAGAGAAACACGTTTACGTATTTCGTATCGGCGTTGCATTAAAGATAATCAATTGCAATTCGCCTTAATTATTTACGAAGTTATCGGCAACACATTTCCTCAAACTAATATCAGACGCAATCTTACAACTGCCTTTTCAATGGCATTTAAAGCGGACGAAGATGACCAAGTAGAAGAAGAGGAAATGATTGTAGAAACTCTATTACCCGAAACTGCTAAACTTGAAGATAATAATGTGGCAGTAGATACGGTAATAGAAGTAACTACCACCAGCCCATTATTAACAAATACCGAAATAGATCAGTCACAAGAAGATTCTTCTGCTTTAGCTTTGTCTATTGCGCAAATGCGTACACCGACCAAATCAATACACACACCACCACCCACACCTAAACGTAAACCTCGTTCAGCTATACGTACTACCTCTGGTCTTAAACGTGTTAATAGTTCCCCTACAGCTCCCGTCCCTAAACGAAGTGCTGCGCGTAGTCTAAGACTTTGATTTCTTTTCGCAAAATTATTACTATGATCAATATGCGCATTCACGCACGATCACCTATAAAGACAATGAAAATTAGCTAAAAAAAAATTCGTTTTTTTTTTTTTTTTTTTTTTTCTAATAATTTGCAATTGTATGCCATTTACAAAAAAAAAATTATTTTAGTTTACGTTATAATTAGAAAGCAAGAGTGGTAAATAATTGATGGATAATTAATTAAGCCAATGTGAAGAATATTAAAATATTCAAAGAACAATATATTTTATGCGATGTTCTCTAAACAGTCAGGCAAAGTTACAAAAAAAAAAATAAATAAATAAATAAAAAAAGAAAAGAGTAAAGTAAAAAAAAACTGCAGCGTAACTTGAAACTTTTATTTGCTGCCTTTTATCACAAGCCCACATATATACATTTTGCCATTGCTTTAAAAACCGTTTATTTTTAATTTATCAGAATATTTTTTATATGCAATTTTTTTTGACATTTTTATTTTTATTAATCCATTAAACGTCAGCATCTAAACCAAATGTAAAACTCACTTTATATATTGTAATATTTTCTATTAATTTTTTAATTGAATATATTCTATGTGTTTTTGAATGATAATAAAATTATTTTTAAAAAGGAATTGATTTGCTTTATATATATGTATATATAAAAATAAAGTTAAAGAAAGGGAGTAAAAACTCAAAACAACAAATAAGAAAATTATATTCGATCGTGACCGAATTTTTTATACCCATCACAATTATTCTAAAAAAGAAAGAAAGACGCAAGTTTCTATACTCGGCATTATTTGACGTGGGTGTGGCTAATATATGTCTACTGTAGTTTATCAGCAAAACGAGCAAAATGGTTTATTCCGGCCGTTAAAAAGGATTTGACAAAAAGAACAGAAAAATGAAACTTTGATACACTGTAATATCGGATAGGCGTGGTCGATGCAGGGGCTTAACAGGATCATTCATAAAATATGCATTTGAATTTTTGTGGATTTATCTGCTGTAGTTTCTGAGTAATGAGGAAAGAAGAAGAAATTGTTTATTCATTTTGATAGACGGAGATGTTCTCAATTTATCTGTTTCTATAGACGTGTCCTCCGCCCGATTTGGCTAGTTTTCAATATCATTCCGCGTGCAAGAACTTCCAATATCTGAGCTAAACTTCTAATGGTTAGCTACAACAGACATAACAAAGACGGACAGACGGATATGCTTAAGTAATTACCGATTACGCGAGCCATAGTAAACAAGAAGATCAATCGATTGCCGTACTATTCAGTCGTTAGACGGTGTATCCGAACTGTATGAACTTAACGAATCTTTACAAACAACTAAAACGATAGATCATCCAGATCTGTCAGAAAGAAACGCTATCATTTTATGCTTAAATTCTTTACCACTAGACAGACTCGTTCTGTTCGCTTATGACACAATTCGTTTAGCACGAATCAGACTCAGACAGTCAGAGAGGCCAAAAAGGGTTAAGGGTTCGATGATGATCACGCTTCCTTCTAGGCATTGTAAACGTTTTGATAAAATGACTATATGCCCTTCATGTTTCGGTGATGAGTACAAAAGAAATGTTTTCTATTTATTTCATGAAAATTTTGCAACGATTTGAAAATAGGAAAAAATTAAAAGAAAAACCCTTTACTTATATATACATATACATATATATATACATATATATATGTAAATTAAAAAATTAAAGTTCCTAAAATAAATGCAAAATTTTTGCGAATCGTTAAGAAGAAAATAGTATTTGCTTGCAGTTTTCTTTAAAAATAAAAGAATATATATATATATATATATATAAATTTATATATAAATTTTTATATATTTTGGGAACTTTAATTTTTTCTTACCTATATTATATTTATAATATATTCTTGCATGAGAAAAAAATCTACATATATATATATATACATATATTTATATAAAAAAAAAAAAAAAATATTTATGCAAAAAAGCTAGCGACGCATAACAATTTTAAATTAAGTTAATTGTATTTATTCTTCTTCTCTGACATATAAAAAAACTTTACAAGATAAGATTTTAACAAAAGAAAAAAAAATTTTTTTTTTTTTAATTATTTGCAATACTGAAATTACTTTAATTAGTTAAATCAACTATTTACACATCATAGATCATAAATTGTGCTGTTATCCGTGTCGACTGCAACCGGTTTTACAATGAAGCGGCGGCGATCAAATGGTCGTAACGGTACCGTCACCATCGGCGATCCTTCAGCTTCACTTCCAGTTCTAGGAGGCTAAAATGATAATTGAAAGAAAAAAATATGAGGAGTTTTTATTTTATTTGCTTCTTTTTTTTTTTTCTTTTTAAAAAATAGCAAAACCATCCTAAGGTAAACACATTTTTTAATTTGAAACAGAAAACATGCATTAAAACCAATTAAGAGAAAGTCTATATAAAATCGTTGTATTAATAGTAGAAACATAAAGAGTGTGGACAGTACTTACGCAGCTTTCTTTTAATGTTAAATTAAAATTGAAAATAAGGTGCGAGTCTAAGATACTTCCTTTCATCATTTTTATTCTTACTAGGTTTTTCATTTTTTTTTTTTTTTTTTGTTTTTTTTATATATATATATATATAAATATATACATTTTGAATGGAAATCACAAATGAATTTCTAAAAATTCATTATCGTTACTATATATTTTATGTGTATCAGGCTAAGATGTAATGGTTTTTTGTATTTTTTTTTTTTTTTTATTTTAATTTTCATCAGTGAATATTTTTTTTCTGCTTTTTCTTTCTTTCGGAATTATCCTTTGTATTGTATTGTATGTGTGTTTGTGATTCGTTTTTATTCTTTTTGAAATTAATTTTGCTGGTGTTTTAAGCTGAGAGTTGAGAGATTTCTGTGCTCTTTAATTTTGTTGATTTTCATCAACGTAATCAAGTGCTGAAGTCTAAAATGGAAATGAAAGAAAGTAAAAATGCATTTGTTATGTTCAAGTGCAACATTTAATGGTTTTTAATACATGTTTCTATAAATACTATATAAGAAAATATCGAAATATTTGTAGCATAAGGAAAAGGGTTTGGGATTGAATGATCATATCACTCGCAAGTACATAGTAGTAATGAAGTTCTAACGATATTCTTCTCCTAAAAAGTTCTAGTTTCGATTTATCATAAATTTGACCGATGATAGCGAGTTGAGTTAATATTTTTTCTCTTCTCTTGGAAATGCTTTAGTTATTTGTTTTTTTGCTAGTCTTAAAGATAATCTGCGTCAAGTTGAAAAATAAATTAATGCTCGTCAAGAATTTGTAGAAAATCGGAGAGGATCGCTAAGAAGTAAGAAAACTAAAGTAAGGCACAGCCCATCGTTCAATACCCTATAACAATCTACAGTTATCCATATAATGACTTTTTACAATATGGCGTTACAGGGGAAGTGGTCCAAAAAATGGATTGACCCGGACCATTTTCAATAGCGTTTGTCCTTGGGCAAGAAAATACATGAACGTACCAAATTCCATCAAAAAGTCTCAAAGAATTTCTGGAACATTGAAGAGGATCGTTCAGAAGGAGTAAGAAAACTATAGTAGGCCACGATCCATCATTAAATACCCTATAAAAATCTACAGTTATCCATTTAATGCATTTTTACAATAAGGCGTTACAGGGGAAGTGATCGAAAACGTTGCTTGACCCGGATCATTTTCTATAGCGTTTGTCCTTGGGCAAGAAAAAACGTCAGTATATCAAAAATTCCGACCTGTAGACTGAATGCAAAAGAAAGAAAAAAAAAAAAGAAGCAAAACAGATGGAGACACCGACAGTTGAGATCCATGGAAAACTTGATTCGGAATCGAATCGTCCTATCTAGTGCATACATCCGCTACAAACTGATTATACGCTTGTGGTGCTAGTGGTGTAGAGTATAAATATGGTTTCCAATTGATACCACGATTTGATAACATCGATAAATATATCAAGTAAGTCAAGTAAATGGATTCGTCCTCTCTCTTGGAATTAAATAATCTTGTGGTGGGCATTAGAAGATTCGACTCGAGAGCTAGCTTGCCTTTGCATCTTCTGGTAAAGTATGGTATGAGAAGAGTAAGGGAAGAATCTCAGCGATAAAGATGATAGTTGTTTTGATCAAATTTATTGCTCGACTGTAAGATCGACTTTTCCATGCCAGAAGTGTTAGTACGTAATAATTTGCTCGAGTATGCCATGCCAGAAATGATTTGGTCTTTTTTTTCTTTTGACCAGACGGATCACCGACGGATACCTCATACTACAACTACAGCTTTTGTCTTCGGCGATTGACTGTGGTAAAGTACATAATAAGCTTGATAGCGGCTCGATAGTTTCACTTTGAGGCTGTGCGCACATATAGTCTGAGTTAACCGAGCTCTATGGTATTTGAAAATGACTTGATTCTAAAGCTAACATTCACCTGCATTTCCATGCCTCACTATTTCGCTCGCTTTCTTTTTCTCGTAAAATGGAAGATCGTAGTTTAAATCGAAGTGTTTCAATCTTCGTCCTGGTGTTGTTTTATTTTAATTGAAATTTCAAAAATTCAAAGCTGATAGAATGTAGTTTTTTTTTTCATCATCATCATCATCATCATCATCATCATCATCATCATCATCATCACAAGTTCATATCGACGCGATAATGTTTAAATTACATTCGATCGTTGACCGTCCTGACCGGTGCCTGATTATTATGATATTATAATTATTATCTTATATAGAGTGAACATATAGAGCAGAGCAGTAACAACATTTATATCTACAAATAAAGTACAAAAAATTGTGAATAACATAAAACCAATACAAGAACAAGAACAAGAACAGAGTATAAAAATGTAGACGAAAAGTACAAAAAACCCACAAAAAATTCACATTAAATTAAATATTAATTATAATAGATATAATAACAACAACAATAACGATGAATTAAAAGATATAAGGGAAATACCAAATCACCAATCGACTAATATCGGTTTAATACGCACCAGTACACATTTACATTGATTCTCATCGTAATAGGAGCCCGTGGTGCAATTTTCATTTTGTTTACAAACGCAACGACAATTGACGTCGTCCCATGTCTTATGATCAAGTTGCAGGCATTTACTGCGTGCTTCGTCATTGGTGCAATGGCAACGGCAGTCTTGGTAACGCTGAAAGGCATTACAATCCTACAAATACACACACACACATATATATATATATATATATGTCTATACAGATGTATGTATGTATGTATGTATGTATGTATGTAGGTATGTATGTATGTATGTATGTAGGTATGTATGTATGTATGTATGTATGTATTTATGATTTGTATATATATATATATATATAACATATATATATATATATATATATATATATTCGGTATATATGTATATATTCGGTTGAATGAATCTCTTCCTACCTCCGGTTTAATGCGACAATCGCATTTGCATTCCAAATGTTGCTCTACCGGTATCACATCTAGGCCGCAAAATTTCGCCCCTTCGTCATAACAATAGCGATAGACTTGAAAATTGATAACTTCGATTTTGGTCGGCTGACAAGACATCCATTGCGTACTACAGCAACCACCGCAACGTTTCACTCGCGTGCAACGGGGAAAATAATTATTCTTTGGATTCAGAGGCGTTAAATCGACAACGGAATTTTCCGGTATACAATTGGCAGCTTTCGCACGTACAACGGCCGCCCTTTCGACGGGACGTTTCAAATTTTCTACACGAACACGATATATAAGCATAATAATAAGCACAAAAGACATAAAAGATGTTTTAATTGAATTTTAAAACTTGCCATGTATACCCCACTTGGGATCCAAACTTTCCGGATCTATGAATTTATCAATAAACTCTGATATATCGGTGATATTGTTTAATTGTCGATAGAAATCCATAGGTACCTGCAATGATAGATAAGTGAATTCCATAATAATAACGTTTGATAAATAAATTTTTTTTTCTCTTTTTTTTCTTTCTTTTTTTACTTAAAATAAAGTCACGTTAGAACGAACAAAAATTTTGTTATATATGAAAGACAATATCTACACATACAGCAAATTTCTACTTAACCTTATACGTAAACGTGTTCAGAGATACGAAAAGGAAAATAGCCACAGACTGTTGCTTGCTTCATATCATACAACCATATATATATATATATATATATATATATATAATCATACATAATAATAAGGCCATAATAAAGATATATGTATGTATGTATGTATATATTGTATTTATATAATTAAAACTGTTATTATAACTTTCCTAAACTTATTAACGTATTTGAGTTTGTTAATTATTTACTGTTTCCTTCAACTTTTCATTATCGTACAGTTGTCATTGTATAATGTTTCCAACGCTCCAACCGTTAAGTAAATAGCATTCTCCGTATATTGCGTGTAGCACAAACACATACATACTTAGTATATACATAGTATATGGTTATTAGTTTAAGTTAATAAGTTGTTGTTGTTGTTGTTGTTGTTGTTGTTGCACAAAGTTGTAAATAATTATTTAAGAAAAGTTAAATAAAACATAATTTTTTTCATGTGAACGGAAATCGAACGGATTGTGTTTATGTTTACGTTTTATTTATTAGAAATTCAAAACAGTCAACAGTTAATAAAAACTAACTAAATATTATAAAAATATGCATAAAACAATTATATTATATATCGGTTACGGTCGAGCATTAAATACCCGACATCACTTTCCTAAACACATTTATTAATAATACCGTTATATAAGGCGAACGATTGAAAAAGTAATCCGAACCCAATTGTCATTTGCAATAACGTTCATTCTTGACGGACACGTACAAGCTTCGCCTATTCGATGTTCTTATGGGCGTTGTATGCAACCCAACAAAACTTATTCGATACGATCCCGGACTACAAGTGTTCCTGGGTATAAGAAATATTCCATTTGTCTTATATAGGGCGCATCATAAGTACTCGAGATCTCAAATAAATATATAAATAATTAAAAGGTGGTTTCTAGTTAACTATCCTCGCGTAAGTCTGCTGATCGAGGGCATTCTTGCTCGAACGACTGAAATCGACTGAATTCTATCTAGAATCTTGAATCTTGTCCGTTTTTTTCTTTTTTTTTTTTTTTTACTATCACGCGGCTTGTTGCCGATAGAGGTACTTTTAGTTTCCAATTTGTTTATGGCCATCGAGGAGCATAGGCGGAAAAGATCATTATTGAAAAAGTTTCATAAATAAGCGATCGGATGGATGGACAGATAATTGCATTTTATCTTTACTCGATTCGTCATGAAAGGGAATAGAAGAATAAGAAGAAGAAGAAGAAGAAATCTTTGATACTGGGTAATAATAAGTAAGCAAACGATTTTAATTGGAATATAGGATTTCCTCCTCTCTTCAAGGTTACTCTTATGTATATAAAATGGATTCATGTTTCACATAACTATTTGATAATTGGAATGCAGTCAGTAGTTGCTATGAATAACCACATTCTTGGGTAACATCACAGTCATAAGGTCATTACATTTCTGTTTCGGATTAGTGGAACTTAATTATACAACTGATATCGGTGTGTTTTCTTATTATGATCACTTCTTTGGTATATCAAAATTGATGCAATTAATGTCATTTTCATCAATGACTAGTGACTAGTGATCATAACGCACGGGTATACCTCTCACTGTAGTGAGCAAAAAATTGATCAAATTTTTGCTTGAAAAAGATTTTATATTGAAATTATTGATAAGACGATATAATGATCTGAGAGCAAGCTTCAAGGGAACGGAAGAGTGACAATGATTTAAAATTTCACTTGCGCTATATCTCTTTAATTTTGCAGATGATACAAATTCACTGATCGAATTAGTATACTTTCATCTTACGATCGATGGATAGAATGACAATAATAAGAATAATTCATAATTTAAATTCTATAAATGCCTTAAAAAATATGAACCGATATATGATGACTCTTTTTCATTAATTGTTTACTTTTGCTTTGGTGGGGGAATTTTTTATGACTCATTGAAACGTATTAAAAGACAAAAGCAGTTACATAATAATATATAAGAAAAAAAAAAAAAAAGCATATTCACTGCACATACATATAAAATAAAAAATCTGCGTCTAAGTCCAAAATATTTATTAATTAAAGAAGATTTACCGGCTTTCTCATGCGTAAATGCATCGAGAAGAAAAAGAAGAAGTCGATGCAAGGAAAAAAAAAATTCAATGATATTCATCCGAGCCGCCATTCAAGTATATATAGCATCTTTATGGAGAGCGGCACAGTCCAGTTTGATTTAATCATGTTCAACTATCTACTTATAAATGATTATATTAAAGAGAAAAGTGCACGAACGTAGGCGCTTAACCTGCCTAGCCTTAACTTAATACGTATTTTCTCTTTCATAAAATATTGTTACGGAAATCCCAATTCTAGTTGCATGTCATTTAATTGATTTTCCCAGAAAATAAATTTCCGAGAGTCGGGAAAAAAGTGTTTGAGTCGAAAAGAAAGTTTAAGTTGAGAATGCCATCAAACTAAGTAAACTGTAAATATTCCTACTTTTAAGGCAATTGATTGCAAATAAAAAACCACGACCTAGTGATACGAACCGTATCAAGGAAACCATTTTCGTAACAGAGGGAGCAGAGATGGCTTTTTCACACCCACTAAGCTTCGGCCGCCCCCTCCTTGTATTCCTTGCATATTCTATTTTTTTCATAATTTATTGAAAGGATATAGATTGCACTGCTATTTTTCGTTCGTAGTTAACCGGCTCACCATAAGCTATATACGATGAGGAATTAATTAAAAATTCCAAATGTGTAACCGAGTAGATGAGAATCGCGACTAGCAAGTAAGTCAATGTTTGCGGGTTCAAATCTCAAGTGCACTAATGTTTATTCTGGTCGTAACCTAAAGCCTTACACTCACTCTTACGACGCTAGACTTAGCCTCCTATCTCCTCCTTATCTCTTTCTCTTTTTTCATTTCATCTTTTTAAAGGTGACCGTGTTACGCGAATACGGGGGGCATTCCCCTAACTGATTGATCAGAAAAAGGGGAGAATTCTTAGTTTTCGAGATAGCAAAAGAGAGCGAGCGAGAGAGAAAAAGAGAGAGGGACTTAAGCATTTTTTGTGTTTCGATTTATGCTTGAATTTCAGAAATGAAATTTTTCGCAATTATAGGAAATATTTGCTTTAAAGTGCAATTTTCCACTTCAATCTTTCATAAGACAGACAGACGCATTGACGAGATATTGATAAATTGATTTAAAATTTATTTGTGAAACGGATTATAAAGTGTTACAAGGACAAAATAAGTTTACTCTCGCACGATAGATGCGTAAAATTGTGCTTCTATGTGTTTATAAAAAATCGCTTTCTCAGCAAACAAAATCTATGTTAAGCGAGAACTAAAATAACTCAAATAATTGGCGCCACTTTTTCCAGCGTTTAATGAAATTCCTTTTGTTTTACTATAATTAAGTATTCGTAATAACGTTATTTGCTTAAGAGGGCCGCCCGATGAATGAATGAATGAGTGTTTGTTCAATTGTGAATCGCTTATTTATTTATACATAGACTTTTCAATTTGCCATATTTTGCATTGTAATATTTAATTTTGTTTTGTTATTTCGCTATTGTTAATACTAATGACTAATTTTTTATTTTTTTTTTTTTTTTTTTTTCTCTATTTAACAAAAAGACAAATTACTTTCTTATCGATAATATTAAATTTCATTAATTAATCATTTCCAATAATGAATGAAATGCTAGTTTTGGCAAATTTCAATAAAATTGCGAGTTTTTGATTTGATTTAAACACATCTGTACATCCGTACATTCGCATATATATACCTCTGTTGTTGAATTATCAAAGTTTATAAAATTTGGGCATTGATGCATTCGATTCGCTCTGGCTCGTATGCCGGCAGGGTAATTTCGTTTGAGCTTCAGACTGAGTGCTTATAAAAAGTCATAAGCCTCGCTGCCTACGTCCGTAGAGTCAAGTACCTCTTCCTTTTTTATTGAAACATCAAAGGTCATAAATTTTATCCGTTGATGCATTCGATTCTCTCTGGATCGTAGAATGGCTTAACTTCGCTTGAGCTTCACACTGACTGTTCCTTACTGCCTACATCCATGCAGTCAAGTATGTCTTCCTTTCTTCTTGAAATTTTGTGCATTGATGCATTCGATTCGCTCTGGATCGTAGAATGGGTTAATTTCGTTTCGAGTTTCACGTGCACTCTTTATGTAAAATGATGAGCTTTGCTTTCTTGTCAGATTGTTTGAAGATCATTAACTGTCAGCTATGGATCTAATAAGTGATTCCTAATGGTTTTTTAGGAATCTAACCGAATCCCGTAAAAAATATCGATTAAAGATAATGCTGTATTTGTTGAAAAACGCTTTATATATATAAAAAAAAAATCAGGTACGTTTATTGTCCCGACCATCGCTCGGAGAAGGTGGCTTTCGTAAAGTAAGGGAATGCGAGAAATGTGATTGAGATGAAACGATTTCATAAACATCCTTTCCTATAAACATTCCTATAGGTCTTTATATAAAAGTTGTGTTCAATTGCATTGCATATCGATTCGGAATAGTTCTTTAACATCTAGATAGACGGTAAGAAATTAGGACAACATTTGGCCTTTCAAGGTTTTTGCTGGGAACTGTCAATGTCTTGACTGGAATGAATATAACCCGCATCCTTCGATGATGGCTATAAAAGTTGAGTTGCAAAGCAGACATTAAATCTTAACTTAAAAGTGTCCAAAATAGTTGAAACAATTACGATAGTCGTTATTAGTGTTGTTATAAAATACAATTCAAAGCTAAGGGACGTGAAGATAAATTCATGTTTAACTAGTGAAGACATCTAGTAATTACCTTAACGAAGCTCTGCAATCGCCCTAGAGCGAGAGAGAGAGGCGTTCGATAAAAATAATTCTGGAAAGATAAATTGGCATAATTTGCATAAAAAATTTCAAAAATTTTTTTAAAAATAGTTTTGAAAAACCGGAATTTTAATTTGTTTAGCTTGTTTCAAACCTATTTGGATGGAATAGGTTTCCAAGTCCTAGCATATCTCACTCTGTTAGGGCGTTTACAGAGGTCTTTTAAGGTACTTGGTTGGTACTTGGTCTTTACCAATTAAATTCGCATTTATCTTTACACTCTTGCAGTATCGTTACGATTACTTACCCCCATGTGCCGAAGTACGCATAGATAGACTCATTCTTAATAGGAAAAGATGTTTTTACTTTTGATAAACTGCACTGTTAAATGAATGCAATGAATTATTTGCATCGCTTCTAACATCTAGTACTTGCCGGTACATCTAATACATATATATATATATATATATAATATGTGTACACATTTAAGAACGATGCGTGAAATTGAAAGCAAAAATAGACTAATCATTTAAACGTTAGAATGTGTGTTTTATAGTAATTTAAAGCAACAACAGGGAAGTAATTAAATGTCGATACTTTCTTTTATATTAATGAATAATTCGATTTACGAGTAATGTTGTCGGATAATAAGCAGTAAATAGCAACGGATTGCGATTATCTGTTAATTCGTTCAATATGCCCTCATACATAAACAAACATATCCATATTCATATAAATTGCAAGAGAATAATATATGAAGAACACTTTTACACAAAAGCACATTAAACGTGTCTTTTGCAAAGTATTTGCAGTGCAATTTATTATCGCAATTAATGCGTGAAGGAACCGATTATTACAGCAGCCTCTTAGGAGATTTCACAAATTTATTTATTTATTAATTATTTCAACTCATACACACAAATGAGCATATGGGGGCAGGAGGGTGGGGGCAAAATTGTAATGATTCGAGTGCTTTCACGAAAGCCGCCAAAAGCCAATGGCGAAGGTCAAGCGAATACGCATTATAATCTCAGACAAAACAGAACGTAGGCATTGCGTAGCCAAAGTAATAACCACCACCAGGTTCGTTGTCGCCTTTCTTATGAAGGTCACCCTTCGCCAGCATGCTTTCGAAGAGAAATATCTTCAGGTGAAACTTCTCCGTTTTTTAGAGTCATAACTAGCACTGTTTAGCGGCATCATATTAGAACTGAAGTACCAGAGGAGAAAGCCAGACAAAGCTAAATCTATCTAACACCTCCAATTATCGAGTGCACTGGCGATTTTAAGATAACCACAACAGCCATGATACTCTAGCTGCTTGTCCGGTCTTTGTCGCTCCCACGCCGACATCACCTATGCATTAAAATGTGCATATGGGCATTCATTGTGGCATACTGACATCCGTGGTCTTCATACTACAGACTATAATGCTTTCGGTTTTCTGCATTATGCTGCCTTACGCGACTTGTAAGCCCCTTGCATAAGAATTACCCATGCGTTCTGCATTAGTATTCAATTTTTTCTACTTGGATTTTCAATGTCCACGGATAAGTATCGATTTGGCAATGCCCAGCGCCCAATCACTCTACTACTTCAATGGTGCTCCTTAATAGCACATAGACCTGTAGAATATTTTCGTTCCGTCAAACAGACGATGCCTGATATTTTCGATGACTTTGCCATGGTGGGTTGCCGTCGCCACGATGCTTTGTTCTCAATACAAGCGTAGGCATTGCCCCGCGAACAGTCGAGCTTGCCGATTTGATTATATAGTATAGTATATAATAATATCTGTAAACTTTCCACGCTTGCAATTCGGATGCGGCACAAAAAAGAGGAAACAAACCCTTTTGCTTACTCAAAAACCGTTACTTCATGTGCTTAACTATGTGCATAGATATAAGTAAAGGAGAAATTAAAATTTTGTCATATATGCCTTACGACCGATTTGGACCGATTTCTCTTTAGATTTTTAAATGGCGGTTCACATACAAATTCACATCGATATTAACTTTGCATGTATATAGCAGAACACTGAGAGTAAAAGAAAACTCAAAGTCAAAGCCATTCTGATTGGTTATCTCTTGCGAGCATAGTTCGCAACTGTTTTCAAAATGTGTTCTTATATTTGAACCAACTATAAGAATCGTGAAAGCTTGTAACCGTAATAGGTCGACAGCGAGAGAATAAATGAACAGTTAATTGACGCAGCATCTCATACCAAATGAAATAATTTATGAAATTTTTTGATACTCGTAATGCGTCCTTCATAATACTTCGAGGGCAAAGATGAAATTATTGAACCTCGTTCTCGTGGTGGATGCGAAAGCGAATGCGTAAAGACCATTATCCAGTTGGGATGGATAAGACTTCTTATCTTATCATGTAGCGAATCCGTTAATTAACATAATTATCAAGAGTAAGCTCTCGTAGTAAGTATTTTTCTTGAGATAATATACCCGTTAATCGGTTCATGATACGAAAAATTTATATGAAAATGTATGAAGTTTTGGCGATATAAAGTTTCGCTCTTTGAATTTCAATGAACTGCAATTCTCTTCATTTACCTTAAAAGAATTCGTCATCCGCTTGTATGCACACCTGCATGCCATGCTTCAAATAGTTAATGTATTAAAATCTCAATTCCTTAGGTTTTTTGTATTTTTCAGTTCATAAAAAAATACCACAAAGAGTTTTTTTATTTTTTTTTTATTTTTTTTTTTCTTATTGAGTTTCTTTGCTCTTGTTGTTTTTGCTGTTTTACTTCTTTTTCGTCTTCTTGCTGCGTTTATGATAAATGTAATGTGTGTGAGAAGAAGTAGTCGGAGAATGATTTTGAAAGAGAAAGAATTCATGAAAAATTTCACTTACCGGATCTGCTTTATTTTCTTCCAGCAATTTAAGATTTGTGTCTTCTATATGCTCAGCATGGATATCCGCTTTTGATTTATTATATACAAAACGGGAATTGTTGTTATTATGATTTTCAGTTAAGGCGCATGCAATATGCACTAAACTCCCGCATGTGAAGAACAATAACAATACGTTAACATTACTAAGAAGCAGATGACGACAACCGCGATCAGTTCTGTTTATTTGAGACATTCTGTTGTGTTGTTTAATTCGGTTAGTTTGTTTTGGTTTCAATTGCTGCTACTACTACTACTACTACTGCTGCTGCTGCTGCTGCTGTTGCCTAGTCTGGAGCTACTGTTTGTTTATTTTGTTGTTTCGTTTCGTTTCTTTTTTTGGTTTTTATTCACAAAAAATATGGTTTTGTTATCACAGTTTATTTGTGTTATTTATAAAGCTGTGAATAAGTTCTTTGTAACTTTTTTTTTCTAAATCTTAGATCTTTTTTTCACTGGTTTTTTTTTTTTTATTTTTTTTATTTTTTTGGTAACGTGTGTTTGGCTAAAAACTGGGAAGAAAACTAATTTTTATTTTAATTTAAACAAATACATCACATAAATATCATAAATTTTATTATTAAACATTTACTTTAACAAAAGTACATTAACATGTTGATTATATTCTTTTCATTATTTTTATTTTTCATTATTTATACTAAGACAGGTGCATATGACAGGTGCAAAGTGTTAAGTGGAAGGGGGCACGAAGAATAAATGTTATAAAGTACTATTATAATAAAGGTCTCTTATCTAAGTAAACGCTGAACAAATTATGCGATAAATAATGCATGTATGTATTCATGTATAAAGTATACGTAAAGTAAAAAGGGCGTAATTAACAATTTGTTTTTTTTTTTTTTTTTTTATTTTTTTTTTTTATTAAATATTCCATTGACCTGTGGATATGGAACGATTTACCATTTCATGAATTGAAGACAAAAAAAAAAAAAAAAAGAAGAAAAAATGAAAACATCGGGTTAGGCCGACTATACCATACAACACATTGTCAATCACAATTCCTAATTTTTGCCATACAACGCAAAATTTTTATATTTTATAGTTTTATAGGGACATACTATTATGGGATTGTATATCAAAAAACAGTGCCCAAGGGGTCCCCAGATTGAGGCACTGTTTATACCATAACACATTAAAATTTACCCTTTTCTGCCCCATAAACGGTAAATTTTCGTGAAATCCTTACATAGGGTATGATCCAAAAAATAGGCCAAGATGATCCAACGTTTTCGTAGCAATCTATTACTTAGCTATTTTTGCCAAGAAATTTTGAAAATCGCATTGTTTTCCATATGACAACTTAGGGCCTTATGTGGGGAGCGGTCGAAAGCGTGGACCGATCCGAACGGTTTTCAACGGCGTTCGTGCTCGAGTCAAAATACGTCACTGTACCAAAATTCACTAAAATATCTCAAAAAATGCGACCTGTAGCTCTAACGCAAATTTCCTTGGACAGACGGATACACAGGCTTAAATCAATTCAGAGTATTATTCTGTATCTATCAGTATAATAAAAGGCAGGTCTATCTTAAGCCCTTCCGCGTGTTACATACTTCCGCACTAACTTAATATACCCCACACAACAAGTGCTGTAGAGTATAAAAATTACAAGCAAAGTTTATTCCGAATAATTAATCTTGACACAAACATATAACATAGAAAATAAGAAGAAAAAAAAAAAGCAAGGAAATTATATTCTACTAAGTCTAGTCTACTAAGGCCAAGATTAAGTGATCATCGATTAAGTGCTTCGAATACGCAAAGCTTTTATAGAGTCTCACAGATGCACACTTGCAACATCAGTCTGGATGATGGAAATATAATAAGTCGGTTCAGACTCTCTGTCTATAGACCTTGGTGGAGGTCGAATATTTTTATACAATCGACCATGATCAAGAAAATCAAGATTTCCTTTACAATAAATTTCACAAAGGCCCCATAACTAATCATATTTCCACGATTATATTATAAAAACATATATATATATATATATATATATATATTTTTTTTTTTTTTTCGAGCTACTTTCTGAACTAACTTCTCGAAGGTATTGTAGTTGGTTTCGAGTCTATATTTTCCAATTTGTTTATTTACAGCTTGGCAAATTGCTATAATAAAACTTATAGACGGACGGATAGACAAATGAATGATTCAATTTATATAAACTAAGCCGGATTAATTTTTTCTCCATAATTGATGAAACCTCTCAAGAAATTGTGCAAAGTCTTTTCCGTCTTTCAATACTTTTTCGTTCAATAACAAAACAGAATACGCTTTAGTCACACGCGTCTGGTCATCTATTCATCACATTACAACCTTACTAGCATTAGCTTATTAGCAATGCAATTGCCAGTATACTTGTCCGATTTAAAAAGTCGACGTGTACACCTTATAATGCTTTCGAGATAAAACAAGAGCAATGTGCAAAAAGTGATCTATGCTCGATCATAGTCACAGGAATTCGATCATATTCGAATGAATTGATTGATTGTACGCTCAATTAAAAGTTTACTCATTATATCCTACTTTATTATATCCTACTACTATACCAATTATACCCATACATCGACTCATGGCACAAATCCATTCATTAAGTTTGTGCTTATGTACAGCTTGTAAGACGCAGAAAAATTTGAGATAGATTCACCCTTTTATTGTACCAATCCCTTTTTGAACGCAGCAGTTGATCGATATGTGAGCCCTGGCCTGCTTGGGTACGGCCCTTCGAGGAGTATTCGTGGTGGCTGCGGTTTACACTGTTCCAAGCCAAAATGGAACAAATCGAGATTAGGATAGGCCTCAACACTGACCAGAGTGAGCTTATTGAGCCATGCACAATAAACAATCTGGACTCCAGTGTTGTTTAGACCCCTAGTTTATAGGGATTGTCTAACTTTCTGGAGGGCGTGGGTTACGCTTAAATGACCTATGTGCCTTGGTCCACCGTGGGGTTAAGCCCTCGCTGGCAGGGCTTACCCACGCTAAACCCATGTCACAATCTATACCAATTGAATAATTTCCTCATTTAGGATGTCTGTCCGTGTTACATTGACCGTAACAGCAATTTGGCATAACCATTAACCATTGAACCATGTAGATTTTTAACTAGACGCCATAATACTCAGTGGTTGCCATAACAAGTATGCACTTACACAGCGACACAAACAAACCAAAATATATAAATAATAGATAAAATAGATATTTAAAAAGTATATTAAGCTTGTTTAACATAAATCATGTCATTTGACATTTTGACGCACTCTCCTATATGACAGCTTTAACGGAAGTTACGTATTTGCCTGAGCGTAATTAAGTGTCATTAAGTGTGGGGCATTTAATGGTCGGCTGTACCCGACTACAATATTTTCACTTGTTTTCTCATTTCATTTTATTAACCGTGTCTTTTTATCTGTTATTTTCATTTTTGACTTTTATCAGCATCAGTTGGAGTGTAATTGAAGACTGGAAGTTAATCTTACCTAACTTTCAGTGAGATTTTTAAAGTAAACGACTCTTAAGTCTGCTTTCTTATAATGATTTTAATGGGCAGGCGGAGTTTGCTCTTGACTTGCATATAGTGTACATATATACATATATATAACATTGTAATTCCCGGTACGAGGCCTTCTGCAATCTAGCCGATAAATGACAAAAGACTATAGATAATGATAGTGTATATTTCGATGCTACGAGCTTTGTAAGAAATATGTTTTAGATAAAAGTCACTTTTTCAACTTGTACATCCAATACTGTAAGACTTTATATCCCAAGACTTATTTACATGCGTGATCAATTTGTGAAAAACACTATTACAGTCCATATCTGACAGAGTAGGCAAAGTGTTTCGACTACCAATTCTCAATGGTCGTAGGTTCGATTCTCAAGTGCGATAGCCTGAGATGGCTAGACTTTAGTCCTCGATTTTCTTTTTCTAGTTAAATTAATAGTAATAAGACTGATGTGACTACACTATATATATATATATATATATAAACACATGGATGCGGTACTAGATAGTTAGTATAAAGATATAAGATATCGAATATCTTGCTGTCCTAATAACGAATATTAATGAGACGACTTTTATTATTGTTAGTATTGACTTAAGATTTTCGCTCACTCATTCGAAATTGAAAACTTTAGATATTCAGTGAAGTGATTCGCTTCAAGTCACATATTGCGTTTTGCTGTTTTCTTTTATTTTGCTTTCGTTTCTGTTCTTCTGTGATATTGTTTTTGGTACAATTCAATGCTTACTCATATCGTTATCGTAATCTAAGTGCTTACCTGGCAACGTAGTTATTTTTGACATTGGCACTAATTTCTGTTTACGCTATCGTTAAGGTTAAATGTGTTTACAAATTTCAATAAATACGTATGGATGTATGTATGTATGTAAGAATTTGTAAAATAATTTAAAAAAAAAAAAAAAAAAAAGAAGTCATATTTTATACGATTGCTACACGAATTAATAATGAAAGATATGACGGACTCCTTTGCCATGTGACAACATGAAAAAAAAAAATTTATTTTTATTTATTTACTTATCTTTTCTTGTTCTTTTCATTTTCATTTTTATTTTTGTTTTTTTTTTTTTTATTATTTTTTTTGTTTTTGTTTTTTGTTTTTCAATTAACAAACGCGGCAACTATTTCAACGTTCAAGATTTACAAGCTTTTGTCAATGGGGAGTTGTGTTGAAATTATTAACAAAGTTTTCGTTGTGTGCGTTCACGTTTTGAACTCTTTTTTTTTTTTTTTTTTAATTTATCTGTCAATTAATTCGTGTGCATGTGAGCAGTTCCTTATGCTATTTGTAAGGTTAATGTTAAATTCTTTATTAAATACTCCTAGTTTTATTTATTTATTTATTTATTTGTTGTTGTTGTTGTTGTTGTTATTGTTTTATTTAAATATGAAAATGAAAAAGTTGTGCTTAAGCAAAGGGCGCACACACAGCAAGACAAAACGGATGGACAGACGTATAGATAGACTGAAATTAATTGTTTACAAACAATGCAATTATTTTGATTTGTTGTTATTATCGTTTACAAGTTTGTAACAAACAAACATATAGACACACGAGTACGCACGCATACGTATGTACGTGTACGTGTATGGTGTACGCGTGCATGTATACGATCAAGCATTGGCACCCGCACATACACGCACATACATACATACATACATACATACATACATACATACATACATAAATGCACATTAAGCGCGCCCCTGTATATGTCCGAGGGGGTAAAATATATTCATCCATATATTCATATACGCGATTATATTGTTCTTATGCACTAAAGTAATATGGCAGACTATCAGCGAAGTTATTCTCAGTTGCGTTTTTTTCTTTTTTTTTTTTTTTTTCTTTGTGGGATTTTATATTCAACCCTCATTGCGGGAGCTCGCGTATCCGAAAAAAATTGCCGGAATATTCATTGTATCACATCTTTCATAACATGTCGAAATATTCCTATAAAGAT